TATATCCACATATAACAATTTCTGATTGGCTGGGGTGGTTTAAGTTGTAACCAAAGCATCAAATCCGATATAAACCAAATAAAAATAAACCTGAATCAAATTCAACCGGATCCAAAACCATATGAAATGAGATTTTAGTTGCTTCATATATCTATAAGTCATAATACTAATTAATTCGGCGAAATTATGTTAATTATCGATGAAAAAATTAGAACGAAATCTTTACATTAAAATTTTATTTCACCAACAAAGAGATCCCATTTTTTGACTAAAAGACATGAACATACCAAAACAACTCTCGTTCATATTATGCTATAATCAAGAATCTATTAAAAAGAGCTAAATCTGTAAAAACAAATAAAGAAGAAATAAAAATTTCAAGAACACCACAAGCTTCTTATTTGATTTTGAAATCATTCCTAGAAATTGAAGAAAGCTTAAAGCTATCTCTTCCTTTCTTATAGCAATTCCGGACCCGAAACTAGATTTTCTCCATTTCTCCAACTCCTAATCTCATTTGTTCAATGGGACGAGTGAATCGTCTCAACCGTTTCTGATGTAATCAAAATGATATATATGACTACTCGACAATTTAGAGTTGGGACTTTAATGAATTGGGGTTTGGTTCATGTGTAATCGAGTTTTAATCAGTTTAATATCATTTTAATTGGTTAAGATGGAATTTTAAAACATATTACCAACCAATAATAATATTTGTGGATTATGAGGTTTCAAAACAAAAAATTGGGGTGATATAAGTTTCAAATTTTTATTTCGGAGATACATAGAGTTTGAACTATATTTTTTTTGGACATCTAGACAAAAGATTACATTTCGGCAGCATATATGATTATACGATAATGCATAAATAGATCGTCAACCCTTATTAATTTATAGAAGCATTATTTGGATGATGAATCAATTTTGCTCTTTTGTTTCAATATTATAAATCTAGAGAAAAAAAAGAGTCATACATGAACTATAGTTTCCACACCACAATCTTTTTGAGATGGTGAATTAGTTGTATTTTAAATGTAATTAAATTAATTATTATGAGAAATTTTAAAAAATGCCACTTTACAAGTGTCACTTTACAAAAATGCCACATTTTTGAAATCTTTACAAAAATGCCACATTTTTGAAATCTTTATAAAAATGCCACTTTTTCAAAATTACTTTTTCATTATATAATGTATATTTGGGTTAACTATTTTATATTAGGGTTTAGTTTTGAGTGTTTAGGGGGTTTTAGGTGTCAAAATATTTTTTAGAGTTTAGAATTTTAAGATATATGCTTTATAAATCTATAATTAGTGGTATTTTTGTAAATAGACACTCCTAAGTGACATTTTTGTAATTGTCCATTAGTAATAAGGTATCACATATTTAAATTTTTGAAAAAGAAAACAAAACAGTCAAGAAAATATATTTAGCAAACTTGGTGGCATAAAGAGTGGTGAGAATCTCGAATTTGGGGTTATTTAAGGAAACGAAATGATTGAAATTAGGATTATGCTACGACAGTGGTTTAGCTACTAAGCTTAAGAAAAATTGAAAGTATTTTTAATAAGAATATAAGTAGTACCTTACGAGCAGAGAGAGTACACAAATTGTTTCACATTCCTCCAAATTCCAAACGCAACAAGTTTGTCTTTATACACCAA